CAATGCTTATACAACTGAATACCAATTAACATTGACCTTCCACTAATGGTTCCTCATAAACTGACCTAATCACAAACTAATACATGTAAAATAAGCAAAAGTTTCAAAGTCAATAAACCATGACTGAGGGGGTAGGGCCAAATAATCTCCATGGAAATGAGATGTGCAAATGCTAATACAACTGTATACCAAATATGATTGACCTACAACTTGTGGTCACCACAAACTAGACCTAATCACAAACTAATACATTGTTGACGCCGCCGCCGACGCCATAAAACAGCATACCTATGTCTCGCTTTTTGACTCCATCAAGCGAGACAAAAACTAACCACAGACTGAACCTTGACGTTGACGCCGCTGACGATGGAATCTAGGATTCTAAAAATATAAAAATTCGTTATTAAAGGGCAATCACTTCAATAAGGTCATTGTTAACTTATCTGTAGATTTTGTCATGTTGATCATTTTGGCTTTTTAAAGTATCTTTCTTTTATAGTTTTTAAGATGTTAGGCAATCGCAAAAAATTGGTAAAAACCGTCATCAATAACAATAACTCCAATAAGGAGTCGTCTGACAATTTCTGCCATTAGACCCACTTTTTCAGAATAAAGATTCTATCTATTATAGTTTTCAAAATAATAAGCAAAAATGAAAAAAAATTGAGAACATTTTACATTTAAGGGCAATAACTCATAAAAGAAGTCGTCTGACAGTTTTTGACATACATGGACAGCAGAAAAATCTCAACATTCTGAATTTTTCTGCCCTTGTCAGAATTTCTCTAGTAATAGCGGTTTTTCAAGATAATAGACAAAACTTGCATTTTACCTCATGTTCTACTTTTAGCCATGTCGGCCATCTTAGTTGGCAGGCTGTCATTGGACACATTTTTTAATTAGACACCATAATAATGATTGTGTCCGAGTTTGGATGAATTTGGTCCAGTTGTTTTAGGATAAGATTTTTGTAAAAGTTAAAGACGACGGATGACGATAACGGACGACTGATGCCAAGTGATGAGAAAAGCTCACTTGGCATATCAGCCAGGTGAGCTAAAAAGGGGATGGGGATGACTGTTTGAGCACCAAATAATTTTCAATCAAATTATTCAAAGTCTCAGCAAACATAAAGTAGTTGTCTGACAGATCTGAAAAGTGCTCACAATAATATCACACATCACTGTTGAGCTGCTGACCAAAATTGTAGTCATTCTGTTCAGCGCAAGTACATGAAAAAAAATGTGACAGAAATATATGTTAAACAAACAGGTAGACAGAGGGACAGACAAGGTAAATGCAACATAGCCCCAACTCTTACAGTAGGAATATAATAAGACAACAAGCCATCATTGCTAATTTTCAATATATTTTTTTATTAATGAATATTATTATTTCAAAAACCATACACAAAAAGCTTAATTCATTTATTCCATATCAACATAGCAGCTAGAATACATTTCTCTTAAGTAAATTATATTACAAGCAATTATATATGTAACAAATGGTCTCTATGAGCTTGTAATCAGTGAATGGTTTGATTGCAACTTTGTAATACAAAAAGAGTACATCATTCTTAAAATCACAAATTTTCGCATACAAAAACAGAAATAAAAACAAAGCAGTATACTTTCCATGTGTGAACAAAAAATCATTAAGCAAAGAGCATGAGTTATAGTGTTAAAAAAATCATTATGAGTAAATAAATGATGTGAGAGTACAATTGCTGCAAATTTAGAAATTATTGAAATATTTTTGTTTTTTTTATACATGTATTCTTTTATTGTAAAAAGTGTGTCTTGATAAAGGGAGATAATAGCTGTTTTTTCATTCCATTGTAAATATTTGTAAAAATTGTCATAGCTTCTTTTAAAATTATTAGCAAATACATTTTAATTTAAAAACAAATCACTTGAATGTTTTAATAAAATATCATGCTCTCCCCCTTCATCTAACAATTAATTATTAAAAATGTCTATAATAAAACAAAATTTAATCCAAATAATGAAAATTAAAAAACGAATATGTAATTACTTTTAGTGCTTTCAATTAAATCAAAAATACTTTTCTCTCTTTCTAGATTTATTCAATCTTAATCTACTGGTAGATTCAAGTAATTTTATTGAAAAGAGCTTATAAATAAGAGATGGACTACAATAAGATGAATGAAGCACCTGCTGTTAGATTGAAACAGAATAAACCTTCACAAAGTCTTGTTCTCTCTCTCTATCACATATGCAAATCAGATGAATTTAAAATGTAAAAAGAATTTAATATCCAAAAGAAATCATTAAATTTCAAACCAACCCACACTGCTATTTCCTAGAACTTAGTTTACAGCTTTTTCATTTTTAAAATTTTTTTAAATTTTTTTTTACATTTTTTACTCATTTTTTTTTACTAAGCTCTACAAAATGGCAAATTTTGATTACATCTGATGAGCTCCTATTACATGTATAATTAATTACCTTTCACCAAAGAAAGTGACCAGAATAAGGAGGTTAACAAGGGGTATTCCCACCCTCAGTTGCCATGAACTTCACCCTATTAGCTCCTCATTCATCACACCTGGATTTTGCTTTCTGTGTTGAAAGGTTTAAAAAATGACATAATACACATAGATTAGAACATGACTGTGATGTTTAAAAAATTGAGAGCTTGTCAATTAAATTTTGATCCATGTCCTATTCAAGTGTATATTCTTTGTTCAATTAAGATATCATAGATTCAAGAAGAAAGAAATTATCAAAGAAAAAGTAATGCTTCAAAATACTATCTTCCACTTATAGATTTATCTTATCTAAACCAACTGGCAGGTTTTGGAAACTTTTTCTAGACCAGTCTTCTAAAAGTTGTAAGAAGCAGTACATGCTGTTTGGTTTAAAGAGAATAAACCTTCACAAAACCTCTCTATCACCCTCACACATACATCAGATGTATTTAAAGTTGTAAGAATTCTTTTGGATCTAATACAACTTATAAATTTCAGAACAACCCATACCGCCATTTCCTAGAACTTAGTTTACAGTTTTTCTTTTTTTCTCTCTCTTTTTTTTTTTTTTCATTATTTCTTTACTAAGCTTTACAAAATGGCAAATTTGATAACATCTGATGAACCCTTAAGGAAGTAAATCACATGTAATTAGAATAATCAATTAACTTTCATCAAAGGATGCAACGAGTATTAGGAGGTAAATAGGTGTATTCCTTCCCCTTGCCACAACTTCAACCTATTAGCTCCTCATTCATCATACTTTAGATTACACTTCCCATGTTGAAAACATAAAAAAAAAAATACACTTAATATATAGCATGATTGTGATAATTTAGAAATAAAAATATTTATTATCTAAATTTTCAAATATGTTATATTGCAAGTGTGTCTGAAATGCATTTTAAAAAGTACAGTTTTCAAATTTACTCATCCAAGATTTATCCAATTTTAACAAATTGTCAGGTGCTTTATTATTTCATTACAAAAAGTCTTAAAAAAACACCTGATGTTTTGCTGAAAAAGAATAGACCTTTACAAATCCCTCTTTCTCTCATTCATACACTGCATTTTTCCTTCCTCCTAGATTCATCTTGTTTAAACCATAAATGCCAAAAAACCAGTAGCAGTGACAGTCTAGTCAAACCGCTCTTTAAAAAAATGGTAATAACATTACAAGCTTTATGGTTGAAACAGGATAAATCTTTACAAATGATCATACTCTCTTACATTTTATCATGATGAATATCAAAATCTGAATTTAGAAGAAAAAATACATTTTTAATCAAACATAAAAAATGAACAAATATTCACAAATTTAAACCTAGCTCTCTCTCTTCCTTACACACATTTCATTCATCGACTTTCTCTCAATTTCATTACTAATGAATAAAAAAGTACATGCTAAACAAAGTTTTATTTCATTAGTGTAATTTAACACTATTTTATACTTATTGACTGAGTATGAGTGGAATAGCAAGTTATTGTCCCCCGAGGTGCAACTATTGCCCTGAGGCATAGCCAAGGGCAAGAGTTGTATCCGAGGGGACAATGAACTTACTATTCCATGAATATCCAGTCAGTAATTTAGTGTTTTATTACACCGAAAGAGACAACAGACACAAAGTTATGCCAAGGACTGAAGGACACAGCTGACAAAAATTCATTTCTACATTTGCAAGAGACAACGGACACATAGTGATGACAATTATCCGATTTTTAATATGCTTAATATGCCTTAATCCTTCCAGATCTCCTTCGGAAAGCAACGCAAAATGCCCTGAATGAGCCATGATCCTGTCGTCTGATGCGACTTGATGTGTGTTCGAACGACTCGGGAATCTACGTTAATAATTGAGATGAATTTTGATAGTCCTGAATGAATTGTTAAAAACCCATTAGCCAATCCCGTAGCTGCAGTTGAAATTCAGTGAAATATAATGACGCTTGCGTTCAAATAGTTTTATCAAGGGCAAATTGTTGAATGAACCTATTTGACCGCAAGCGTCATTGTATTTCACCGAATTTCAACTGCAGCTACAGGATTGGCTAACAGGTTTTTAACAATTCATTCGGGACTATCAGAATTCATCTCAATCACTAACGTAGATTCTCGAGTCGTTCGAACACACACCAAGTCGCATCAGACGACAGGATCATGGCTCATTCAGGGCAATTTGCGTTGCTTTCCAATGGAGATCTGGAAGGATTAATTAAGGCATATTAAGCATATTTACAATCGGATAATTGTCATCACCTTGTGTCCATTGTCCATTACAAATGTAAAAATGAATTTTGGTCAGCTGTATCGTTCAGTCCTTGGCATAACTTTGTGTTTGTTGTCTCTTTTGGTATAATAATTTAAAACACTAATACTGACTGGCTATTTGTGGAATAGCCAGTTCATTGTCCCCTCGGATACAACTATGGCCCTCGGCTACGCCTCAGGGCAATAGATGCACCTCGGGGGACAATAAACTAACTATTCCACTCATACCCAGTCAATAAGTATAAAATATTCCTTTGTTTTGTTGTTTAATTAAAGTTTCTTATTGTGCACATCATTATTATAATAATAATTCCAGTCTTTTTTTTTTGTTTTTCAAGTCTCTTGTTTTGCATAACATATTCCTGAGTTAATTTGTTGTTTTTGAGTCTTTTTCCTTGCACAGCATTTTCCAGAGTCCATCAGTGGTTTGTAGTCCATATTCTATTACAGCAAATTAATTCCCGAGTTATATTTTGTAACTGTGTCTCTCTCTTTTAAAAACTAAGTTCTGTTTGTTAATGTCCATCCTTCTGTTTCATCGTTTTCCCAATATGTCCAGGATTGGAAACATCAAACATTACCTACAAATGGATGACAAATTTTATCACAAAATTCTTCACTACAAAAAGGAGAAATAAAATAAAAACACTGTTCCTGCACATCCAGTATTTCCTTTTGAATCATCATTGACAGTTTGGATGATGTTTTCCTGCTAAGTACAGAAAGGTTCTAATGATTTTTACATCATTTAGTGTCTATTACATTGACTTTCAGTTTACAATGCATTGGCCTGGCTGAGGTCGCTGGCAATTTAATGTTTGTTTTTTTTTAAGATTCCAAAAATATTTCAAATGGCAAAAGCATTCTGTGGTTCTTGCATAAAAACTGAAACATACAGTGTCAGGTCAGGATGTTATTTCAGCCTTATGAGCAAATCAGATGATTGTAAATTATAAAAATATTGTATTTAATTAAAACTGAAGAAAAAAATTACTAAAATTGTCTCCCTTGAAATAATTATTTTCTGAGCATTGCATTGTTACTCCTTTGTCAATAGGGTTGCATGATGCACACATTTTTTGGTAATAAAAATGTATTCAAAATGATTAGTTATTAATGAAAAAAAAATTTCCCTTAGCAATGAGTCAGATTTCAGAGTACTAATGAACTTTTGTTGTCACCCATATGTTCTATTTGCAATAGTAAGTTGTTCCCCCTTCTAGGAATGGATTGTATACACAGAGTAGAAAAATCTGAGTGGTAATTTTATGTTAGAAATAACTAGTTTTAAAAATATAGCTACAGTAGATTATACAAATAATTGAAAACTGTCATGTGTCAACTAGTTTTGAGAGTATAAAATATATAGTAATATAATAGTTAGAAAAAAGGGAAATAACTGTCACCAAGAATTCTTTAACATTAGGAATTTTATATAAGGATACAACTAATCTCTTTTCAATGCATTTGTGTAGTGTTTTTAATAGTAATTAATGCTGCCTTACCTAAACACCAGATAATGTCTTTCCATTAAATCTTCATTTAATCATGGCACTTTATGAATACCAGCATTGAATGAATTAAGCTGAAAAATAAATTTAATTATCATCTTGTTTTGTATCATGAGATATTTATTCTTCAACTTCTATGTGAAATAATATTTGATCATTCTGATTGGATTTTTTTCTTGTGTATTATTCCAATAATTATGGTAACAAGTTAAGAGTTCTAAGGTAACATGGCAAGAAAGCTGACTGGGTCTTTTTTATACATAACCATTAAAAATCGACATTCTAAATATCAAAATTAAATCAAGAAAAATTACCTCGTTATTTGCATTGAACCACTTCAGACTTGAGGTAAAAATCTCTTTAAAAGTCTTCCTGTTTGCTATTTTCATCCTGAAAAAACAAAATTCCTTGTTTTTGTTTTGTATGGAAAAATAGAAGAAAAAAAGTTTAAAGTTACAATATATGTTATAATTAGAAATGCATATGACCTGATTTTAAAGATATTTAAAATTTAATTCCCATAACTTAACTTTGAAATATTTCATTCACCTGACTAATTCTTCTAATTATAATTATGAAATGGCACCTAACTTTTCTTTGTGCCTTTCTTTAATACAAAGATTGAATGGATGCATCAAAGGTGAAAATTATTTCCTGAATAATATTAAAATATGCTACTAACAGTTCTGTTGATGAAATGTTTTTTCTCATTCTCAAGTCTATAGAATTTTTGACAGCAATTTATCTCAATTTCTGTTCAACACTGAAAATATAAAAAGTAAGTTCATATATATCTTAAAATACTAATTATTTATATATAAATGATCTTAGGTCCTGAATTCAACATCAAAATTATTTTTCTGCAAAAGATTTTTTTCACCCTGAATGGTGAATTACAAATTAAACATAATTTCAATTTCTTGACAGATTTAAATTTGAAAGTGTTCCAGTTTAAAAGATTATCAACATCCTTAATTTTAATGTAATCATTTATTTTGTGTTACAGAATTTTCACTAAAAATCATGGTTGATTTTTGCCAAATTTTATGTTCACTAGTTACCTTCCCTTAAGGATGTTCGCTTCTCGTTTTAGACAGATATTCAGAATCCTCTGGTTTTATCCATGTAGTGCCATTAAAAAAACATTTCCCTGTTAACTCCTACTTTTCTTTTTATAATTTTATTATATATAGTTAAAAAAGCCATATATGAAATTCTTATAAAATCCTTTTATTTTTTCATATTTTTTGAAAGAAAAAGGTGCCAATCTTAAATAGATGAAAAATCTAGAGAGAATCATTTCCTGCCAAATTTTCAATGGCTTATATCTCGACAAGGACAACGACCCTTAATTTTTTTCTGCTTTTTTGTTTCCATTATTTATATACTATCAATATATAACAGTCTTTTAAAAACCTTGTTATTTTGAAACAGAGTAATGAACATCCTTAAAGAGACAGAGCAACAAAACAAAACCATTGCTCTCTTTACATTAAATATTTTTTAACAAACCTGAGATAAAACAGGATATAATTTCCAAGTCCTGCAGCAACATTGAATAAAACCTTTTTTCTGTGATATCGGCATCTGAAAAAGGATGTAAATACTAGCCATAAATTAAGAAATTATTGTATGCAATTATTGTTGTAAATTTTGAAGAATGGCTGGAAAAACTTGACTTCTTATTGCGATTTTAGAAAAACATGCATACATATATTCATATTAGATATCAGAATGCAAGTTCTTAAGGGCATACGATACAGTTACAGGGGAGATAATGACATTGCTAACGTAAAATGTTACTTTCGCGAAGTCAAACTCTGACATCAGGAAAAGATGCCTTTTTTCAACTGATTTTTATCATTCAGACTGATTTAACTTGAAAACGAGTTCATGGACCCCACTTTTTTAAAATGAAATTAGGTTTGATTACGTATGAAGATTATTTGTACCAATTTTTATGAAAAAGTCACAGAAGAAATTTTATAAAACTAAATATACAGGAAAAAATGCTGTTTTTTTTCTAAAATCATGAAACTGTGATAAAAATTATTTCCAAAGAATTGTTATACAAACTTAGAGCATACTAATTATGTAAAGAAGATTTTCCAAATGTTTTTACAAAAATCCGCTTGTGTTTATCTTTTGAAACAAAAAAGTTGTATGTCTATCCAAAGAAACGAAAACGAAATTTTGAGTCTACGTCTAAAATTTCGACCCCATTTATCTCTTAAAGTAGCACATGAAGGTATATTTTTTATTACATATTTGAATTGACTAGGTGAAAAATAGCTTGTATGCAAATTTTCGTCAAAAATTCACCGTGGGATCAAAACTGTATCGTATGCCCTTAATATTGTGATACTCACTCAGTTGCATTATTCACATTATAAAAAAAAACCACAATAATTTCCGAATTTACAGTAATCTAAAATCCATATTGACATCAAAATAATTTTACTGCAAAAGAAGATAAATCCACCCTGAATTCCCAAATCCACCCTGAATTCCCAAATCCACCCGGAATTCCCAATTACAAGTTTAACTTATTCCTTAAAATTTAAATTTATGTATTCCAAAAAATGCTCATTAACTTATCAATATAGCAATGCATTACTGTGAACAATCAATATTTTTATCTCTTTCAAATTTAAATGTGTTCCAGTTTAAAATAATCAACATCCTTTCTTTGCTACAGAATTTTGATTGAAAAAGATATGTCAACCTGTCACAGAGTAAGAAAAAAAAAAACCATTACAATAAAATATTTTTAACAAACCTGAGATAAAACTGTATCAAATTTCCAAGTCCTGCAGCAACATTGAGTTAACCTTTTCTTGGTATCTGAAAAGAGATGAATTAACTTTGGTAAATGAAATATACTTCACAAGACTGGCACTTTATTTTTCATAGTCCATTGATGGCAAATCTATAAAAAAGTTTAATAAATATGATCTGCAAAAATTTTGAGTTAAGTGTTTAAAAAAACATTACTTCGTTTTTTCTGCTCATTAACTTATCAATATAGAATGCATTACTCTGAATAATCAAAAATATATTTTATACCTCTAGTTTTTTCACTAGTTTACTATATCTTCTGTTAGGTTGCTGTCTTCATCAAATTTTTCAAATATTGCAACTTATGCAAGCAAAATAATATTAACAAAATGAAATACCTTAAAATAAACATGAAAATGCCTTGATTTCTTGATACATCTGAAATGACCATCTTTCTGGTTGAAATTAGTCTGTTGTCACCAATGGAAAGCTTATCATCTGGCATCAGTACTAATGCTCTGGTCATGGAGATCTCAAGCTAGGATAACCATCTTTCATAATGTTCCATCTCATTGCAGACAGTTAATGTCCAGTTGCAAATGTTTCATGCATATTCAGGACCATAATTCCAGTAGGTAGGTTTTGCAAAGTGGGTAAACAGGGTTGAAGGGTGTAACGAAAATTTAAACTACCATAGAAAAAAGGGGCAACTTGAAGGGAGAGAAATTTTGCCTTGCAACATGCAACCTACAGACCCCTCAGAGAGTTGTTGCAAGGGTTCTTTAACGTGCAGAGATTACTCTTCCCTACACAAGGTATCTACTTTAACGTTCAAATTCAGAAAAAATTCATTGAAGCTTCACCTCAACCTCCAAAATTAGACATTAAAATGGCTCTAATAATCAATACCCTTGCCTTACAAAGTTAGCTAGGACGCAACCATCAGTTCCAAAAATAATACTAAAAAAATGATAGTAAATGTAATGTCTATGTAAGAAAAATCTACCACTTGCATATAATTGCAATTTTCATGATGGTATTGAAGAATAAAATGGATAAGATATTAAAATGTTCAAGAATTGTTGCATTATAAAAGTATTTTTTTCAAAATAGCAGAGTGCATTTGATCTATACATTTGTGAGGGTTTTTAGTAACACACAGAGGGTTAAAGGTGTATGATACTGGGAATTTTCCACCACTTATACTGAGCCATGAAGTTGTTCAAAATCAATATACAGAAAGTAGCATTATTTATACCTCATAAAAGAGAAAAAATAAAGGTATCATTGAATGAAAGTGTCCTTCAATATCAGAAATCAAATGACCTCTGTTAGCCACAGATTGATCGAATTTTTAGCAAGCTCAGTTGACAACATTTGTCAATATTTGTAAGATGTATATAAAAGTTTTATATCTTGTTTTCCCCCATGAATTTTGCCATGCATCTATATTAAAAGAGAATTATTTATAGTACATGGTGACACAATCTAAAAAATATATATATAAACATCATCTGGTTGTGTGTTTTTAGATGTCAACTAATTCTGCTTTCATCTATGCAATTTAAACCTTGAATTTAAACAAAAAGGGGTTTAAAATCTCAACAGTGCAGTTCCAAACCAGAAACAATACAAATTTAAATAAATTTACTGTCTGCTCAATTTCATAAATAACATTGTTTTCTTTAGTCTTTTTCATGTTTTTCTGTAATTTTAAGTATTTTAAATGAAAATGAGACACCAAGAATATCTTCTAAAATATGTAAAAAAAAAAACATGCTTCAAGCAATTCATTTATGAGGGTGTGGATTGGGTTTACAGAATAGAGAATAATGGGCAAAAAATATAAAGAATAGAAAAAAATGGCCTAAAAAATTAAAGAATACAGAAATGAAGGACTCCCATCCAGATCCTCCTATATGACCATGACAATATTGAAAACTTTTCTTTTACAAAAATATCTAACAATATTTTATTCTAAATCTGCTTTTAAGCATTGAATATTCAAAATTTGTGAATACATTTAAAACAGAAACCATTACAAAGCTGCTATCAACACTAAATTCTTTAAATAACATAAATGATACAAGACAACTATACAGACAAGGAACTGGACAACTTTAGTATCTGGTAAATGAATAATAATGCACTACAATGGTTAAATAATAATTAAATAATTTTTTAAAAAATCAAATTTTTACTGAATCAAATGTGATATCCATAGAAAAAAACTTTTTAAAGCTTAAAATATCATATAAATAAACTTCAGAAATGCATAACTAAGAAACAATAGGCAACATTTCAACTATCAAATATAGTAAAAAACCATTCAAACCAGCAAAAAAGCAAGAAATCAAGAAATCACAATTCAGAAATGACCACTTCAATGAAGTTTAGACATACCAATGATAAAGATAAAAAGGTTAGGTTTGTTAGATTGATTGTTAAATGTTAGTACAGAAACGGCTAGTAAGCAAGATGTATTTCTGAATTCATTATTTGATATTTAATTGCATTAGTACAATAACTTGTGAATAAAAATATTTTTTCTGTCAATTTACAATGTAACTGCATATATTCACCTTTACATAAGGTAATTAATTATGACCATTAACACCTAATAATATCTTGAATTTATTGAATTGCTTATTATTCACCATTAACAAAATATTAACAGACATCCAAATTGATTTTTCCATTAATCTGAAAAATGTTTTTTTGAAAATTTGTTGATGATGGCAGTCCTTTGATAGTCTCCACCTAATATAATTAACTTTTTCTAGATTAATTTTTTTAAAGCTTGACATAAAAACAAGTCACTTAATTGTCAAGGGTGGATCCAGCATCCAGCATTTTGGAAAGGGTGGGTGTGTTGGTTTGGGGGGGGGGGGGGGGGAGGTGGTGTAATTTAATAAAACAGATAATAAAGTTTTTGGAAATTTTGTTTAAGGGTCTCCTTGAATGAAAAAAAATATAAAAAGATGTAATACCAACAATTTGATATATGTGCTTCTATATATGGATGCAAGCTAGCATACATCTGATACATTAAGGATATAAGCTGAAATAAATCTAATATGTTAAGGATACAGGATATGACATACATTTGATACATTAAGGATATAAGCTGAAATAAATCTGATATGTTAAGGATATAAGCTGACATACATTTGATACATTAAGGATATAAACTGAAATAAATCTGATATTTCAAGGATACAGAATATACTACATTTGATACATTAAGGATATAAACTTAAATAAATCTGATATTTTAAGAATACAAAATGACATACATCTGATATTGTAAGGATACAAAATGACATACATCTGATATTGTAAGGATACAGACTGACATACATCTGATACATTAAGGATATAAGATAGAATAAATCTGATATGTAAAGGATATAGGCTGACATACATCTGATACATTAAGGATAAAAGCTGAAAAACATCTGATATGTTAAGGATATAGGCTGACATACATCTGATACATTAAGGATATAAGCCGAAAAACATCTAATATGTTAATGATATATAGGCTGAAATAAATCTGATATGTTAAGGATACAGGATATGACATACATTTGATACATTAAGGATATAAGATGAAATAAATCTGATATGTTAAGGATACAGGATATCACTTACATCTGATACACTAAGGTTACAGGATATGACATACATTTGATACATTAAGGATATAAACTGGAATAAATCTGATATGTTAAGGACACAGAATGAATTACATCTGATTCATTAAGGATATAAGCTAGAATAAATCTGATATAGTAAGGATACAGTCCAGGGGCGTTTCTAGGATATTTGAAAGAGGGGGCGTAGAATCAAGAAAAACTTTTTGGACCTTTGTTTTGCTAAAAAAACATAAAATAATGATAAATTGCCATATTCAATACAATTTAAGAAGATCACGATAGTTTTTTTTTTTTTTTTTTTTTGAAAAGATGTACGCCCATTACGCCCTCACCTGGACCCGCCCCTGCAGGCCGACATACATCTGATACATTAAGGATATAAGATAGAATAAATCTGATATGTAAAGGATATAGGCTGACATACATCTGATACATTAAGGATATAAGATAGAATAAATCTGATATGTTAAGGATACAGAATGCCATACATCTGATACAAAATAAAATAAATAAGGATATAAGCTGAAACGAATCTGATATGTTGAGGATACAGGATATCACTTACATCTGATACATTAAGGATATAAACTGAAATAAATCTGATATGTTAAGGATACAGGATATGACATGCATTTTATATATTAAGGATATAAGCTGAAACAAATCTGATATGTTAAGGATACAGGATATGACATACATTTGATATATTAAGGATATAAGCTGACATACATTTGATACATTAAGGATATAAACTGAAATAAATCTGATATTTCAAGGATACAGAATATATTACATATGATACACTAAGGATATAAACTTAACTAAATCTGATATTTTAAGAATACAAAATGACATATATCTGATAGTGTAAGAAACAGGCTGACATACATCTGATACATTAAGGATATAAGATAGAATAAATCTGATATGTAAAGGATATAGGCTGACATACATCCGATACATTAAGGATAAAAGCCCAAAAACATCTGATATGTTAAGGATATAGGCTGACATACATCTGATACATTAAGGATATAAGATGAAAAACAACTTATATGTATAGGATATAGGCTGAAATAAATCTGATATGTTAAGGATACAGGATATGACATACATTTGATACATTAAGGATATAAGCTGAAATAAATCTGATATGTTAAGGATACAGGATATCACTTACATCTGATACACTAAGGTTACAGGATATGACATACATTTGATACATTAAGGATATAAACTGGAATAAATCTGATATGTTAAGGACACAGAATGAATTACATCTGATTCATTAAGGATATAAGCTAGAATAAATCTGATATAGTAAGGATATAGTCAAGGGGCGTTTCTAGAATATTTAAAAGAGGGGGCGTAGAATCAAGAAAATTTTTTTGGACCTTTGTATTGTTAAAAAAAAACATAAAATAATGATAAATTGCCATATGCAATACAATTTAAGAAGATCACGAAAGTTTTTTTTTTTTTTTTTTTTTTTTTTGAAAAGAGGTACGCCCATTACGCCCTCACCTGGACCCGCCTCTGCAGGCTGACATACATCTGATACATTAAGGATATAAGATAGAATAAATCTGATATGTAAAGGATATAGGCTGACATACATCTGATACATTTAGGATATAAGATAGAATAAATCTGATATGTAAAGGATATAGGCTGACATACATCTGATACATTAAGAATAATAGCCAAAAAACATCTGATATGTTAAGGATATAGGCTGACATATATCTGATACATTAAGGATATGAGCCGAAAAAAATCTAATATGTTAAGGATATAGGCTGAAATAAATCTGATATGTTAAGGACACAGAATGAATTACATCTGATACATTAAGGATATAAGCTGAAATAAATCTGATATGTTAAGGATACAGAATGCCATACATCTGATACATGAAGGATATAAGCTGAAATAAATCTGATATATTGAGGATACAGGATATGACTTACATCTGATACATTAAGGATATAAACTGAAATAAATCTGATATGTTAAGGATACAGGATATGACATACTTTCTATACATTGAGGATATAAGATGAAATAAATCTGATATGTTTAGGATACAGGATATGACATACATTTAATACATTAAGGATATAAGCTGAAATAAATCTGATATGTTAAGGATACAGGATATGCCATACATTTGAAACATTAAGGATATAAGCTGAAATAAATCTGATATGTTAAGGATATAGGCTGACATACATCTGATACATTAAGGATATAAACTGAAATAAATCTGATATTTCAAGGATACAGAATACATTACATTTGATACATTAAGGATATAAACTGAAATAAATCTGATATGTTAAGGGTACAGGATATGACTTACATC